GCTTTTATGACCAGACTGGTTAGGAGGCACCATCTTGGCAAAGCCAAAGTCTGAAATCTTCACATTGTCCTGGTTGTCCAGTAACAGGTTTTCCAACTTTAAGTCCCTGTCAGTAACAGAAAAGTTGATCAGGTTAAGGAGAATGCTTACTGTGAGACCAGGAGGTGAAGGAGAAGCTAGAGTACGGAAAACGACAAGGAGAGAGGTCCCATTATGATAGCAGAAGTAAAGGAGCCATTCAGTTATGAGCAGAGAGAGGAGTGGTGAGCATGAAACTGGAGGATCAGTCGAAGTTTTTTGCATACAGTGTGTTTTTACATGTGTCCTTGATCAGATGATTCATTTAGAGTGAATAAGCCTCCATATTGAGTAGGAAGAGCAATAGAAAAAAGGGCAGAAAACAGACAGTGTGTATAAAACCCCCTCGAGAGCCCAAGGGTCCCAGTTCTGGTGGTCACAGCCTCACCGGTGCACGATGCCCTTGCTGTGCAGGTAGGCGATGCCCAGGGTCATCTGGGAGAACCACTTGCCAGCAAGGGGCTCAGAGCAGGCCCCGTAGCGCTGGATCCATTCAAGGACGTCACCACCCTGAGCCAGCTCCAAAATGACGTACACTCGAGATGTGGTCTCAATGGCCTGATAGAAGCTGATGAGGTACTTGTGCCGCAAGACTTTCATTACCTGACCCCAGAAGAGGCAGCCATCACACCTGGGAAAGGAGAACCCTGGCTGTACTCCTATCCTCCACTCTCCTCCCACTGCTACTTTCTTACAACTCTGCAACAGAATCAGCCCCTCCACTTCCAAGGGCAGGAGGCCTGTGGGCAAATGGTTTAGAAGTTTTTGCAGCTGGAGGTGAACGTGGGAAACGGTGAAAATATCCTAAGGAAGCTTCCTATCTGTCTAGTGGGATGTTTGGTCTGGTTTGAGGTACTGACTCCATCCAGGCCTAGCCATACCCATTCTGGGAAACCTCAAGTAGCTTAGTGCCGCCGTCCAGTTCCCCTCCATCCTCACTACTGACCTGTAACTCACGGGGTAGGAACTTGTTAAGGTAGTCGTCAGAGGCTTTCTTCTTGGAGATGATCTTGATAGCCACCGTGACCTTCTGCTTTGTGTGGTAAGCCTCATACACGGTCCCGTAGGAGCCAGTGCCAATGACCTTGCCCACCTTGTAATTGTACTCCTCCAGGACAGAGCGATACGATGTGGTGTTTGGTACTGCCTCCGTGCTGTCTCCCTTCCCCATAGTGTCAGGCTTGCTCCTTAGAAGCCTGTGTCCTGAGAGGACAATGCCTTGAGCCACAGAGACCTCCACTAAGAACTTGAAGGGTCAAATAAGAGAAGCAGCTCTTTTTGTCTCCACGGGCTGTTGTTACTTCTTCCCCTTGGATATGGAACTCCTGAGTTCTCAAATTCTACACACATCACAATCCCTTCCCATCAATGGTCACATTTGAAAACGAAGTGGTTTGGAATATATTCATTCCCAAAGAATGTTCTGCATGCCGGGCATGGTGGTGCACGTGTAATCCCAGCACTCGGGAGGCTGAGGCAGGAGGATCGCTGTGAGTTCAAGACCAGCCTGGGCTACATAGTGAGTTCCAGGTCAGTCTCAACTACATAGTGAGACCCTGTCTCAAAAAACAAACAACCAAACAAAAAAGAATGTTATGCAATCTGCTGAGATGCCATTGTGAATCTTCCCTCTTTATTAATGTTGACTAAGCACTTATAGTAGGCTGAGTACTAAGATATAGTAAACAGTAAGGTTCAGGCACCTGATTCTAGACTTTATGAACCAGCATAAAAAGAGTGTAGTATAGCTTGTATCCCTGTTCCCTCCAAAACCTCATATACTCATAGGTGGGGCTTTTCAGAGATGGGTGGATCTATGTTGTGGTATTGGGACTAAGTAAATATGGTAGTGGTTCTGGGTGTAGATAATGAGGTCCACCCTGGGTGTGTGTGGTACCACCCAAAAACATATCACCTGGATTGGATAAAAGAAATAGTGAGGCTTGCTGCTTCCTGCTTGGTCCGCCTAGGACTGTCTCTTCTGCCATGCCATTCTGCCTTGGAATCAGTTAACTATGGACTGAAACTCTACAGTGAGTTAAAATAAACCTTTTCTCGCTTAACTTGTGGGTGTCAGATATTTTGTCTCAGCAATGAAAAAGTAAGAAAGACTGTGTATTACAGAAAATGCAAGGGCTGGGGATTTAGCTCAGCGGTTCAGTGGCCTGCCTTGCAAGCGCAAGGACCCGAGTTCAATTCCCAGTACCAAAAAAAATTAATTAAATTTTAAAAATAAAAAAAGAAAATGCAAGGTATTACAAGCATACTCGTGGGCGATTTAGCTCAGTGGTGCCACCGCCGGCCTCACAAGCACAAGGAGTTTGATCCCTGGTACCAAAAAAAAGAGGATACTCTAAGAATTTAACTTTGAAATGTATTCTGGCTTTCCATGTCCCTGAATTTTTTAGTTTTCCTCAGGCCTCTAGTTACAATGGAGTTATATCTTTCTCTATATCCTCCTTTTAATTTATTTATTTAAGTACCTTGGGATTGAACCAAGTCCTTGCCCAGGCTAGGAAAGCACTGTACCACCAAGCTATATCCCCACCTCCTCCTCCTATATTTTAATCATATTCCAAGGCTGTTAGCAGTGACCCGACTCTTACTTCTTTCCTTAAGGATTTCATCCACTCACTACAGTTATGCCCACTGCTCATAATCCCATCTCTACTGTAGATATACCTCTGGAGTTCCAGATGCAGTGTGCTCATGCTTACATTACATGGGTGTATCTTTCCCAGCCACCTCAAACTCACCACAGCCATAATTGAACTTCTCAGTTTTGCTCGTAGCTTTACCCCTTTTAGAACTTCTACTCCAGCTGTGTTTTTGAGACAAAGGTTCTCACTATGTAATTCAGGCTGGGCTCGAACTAATGGTGATCCTCCTGCCTGTTTCCTGAGTAGCTGCACTACAGGTATGTGTCACCATGCCCAGCTAGCTGTCCTTTTAGACACCCAAATATCATCTTAGATTCTTACCCCTGCTTTGGTCCCTACAGCCAATCTATCACCAAATCCTGTCTCTTGACCATCTAATAGTCTCAGGTACTCAGGGCTCTCCAAGCCTGTCTAACTGATTTCCCTTAGAACCTTCTTTTTCCCTCAGTCTTCTCACCTTGAAGTCCCAGACATAAAACTAATCTTATTCTCATTGGAAACAACTCACTGTCTTCCCATTCTCCTCAGGACCAAGTCACATTCTTTCACATCTGGCTTTAAGATGACCCTGACTATCCCTCTGACTTTATCATTTAACCACATATAATGCGTCATCTAAACAATTGCTTTTTCCTCTTTGTTCTGGCAAACTCCTGCTGCTCCTTGAGAATTTAGCTTTGGAGCTGTTTTAAAGAAGCCTTTATTTACTGCTCGAACCCAAGTGAGGGGTACTCCCACAATCCTGATACTTTCTCTGTCACAGTACCTAACAATGTCCATGATTGGTTTTCTTGGTCGCACTCCTACAAGCCTATGCAGGGAAGTCAGTAATGAGAAGAGTGAGTTGAAGTCAGAGGTTTGAAAAGAATGGGTTGTAGAGAATGGAAAGGAGCTGGAGTGGAAAATGATCAGAATCACTGGGCAGCATGGAGAGGCCAAGTAAGTTGGAAAAGAAAGCACAACTTACAGAAACAGTGTTGAGATTTTCACAGCATCTTCAGTATAGGTGCTTAAATACTCATGGATGACCTAACCCAAGATTAAAATTTTCATGGCAATGCCATGAAACAATGGAAGAGGAAAGAACATGTAAGCATATAGCTGAAAGGATAAAACATGGAATCCAAACTGCACAGGTAAGTTCAAGCAATGTGAAATGGAAGAATAAATTTGATGGAAGAGAAAGGTAGGAGGTTATGGTCACAGAGGGTTCTTTGGACTTAAGATGCTGCAGTGATGCTAGGCATGATGGTACATATCTGTAATCCTAGCACTCGGGGTTACAGCAAAAGTGCAGGACCAGCCTGGGCTATACAATGAGGTTGTTTCTAAAAACAGAACAAAAACTCTAAGAACAGATTATTCCACAGGCTAGTAATCTAATTCCCACTTGACAGTCTGACCCTGCTGGCAGAAAAGTTTTAAAGTTCTTTTGGAAGTCAGCTCTACATTTTATCTTCTTCTTTTCTCTTCCTCCCCAGCTCTTCCTCCTCCTTTCTTTCTTTCTTTTTTTTAAGAAGAGTTGATATTTTATTTTTCAAACTTTTTTCTTGGTACCATGGATCAAACTCAGTACCTTATGCTTGCCAGCAGGTGCGGCACCACTGAGCTACATCCCTGGGCCCCTCTCCTCTTTGTTTTTTGAGATGGGGCCTCACTTTGTACTTCAGGCTGGCATTGAACTCACTAAGCAGTCCACTTTTCCAATGTAAATAAGATGAGCAGTTGTGCAGCATGGAGACCAGCCAGTTCTGCCAATCTCTTGCTCTCAAAAACCTGCCCTAATATGTAAGGTAAACTGGTGACAGCTCTAGTCTCTCATTATGTATTGGGGCAAACCGGTACATTCATGGAATAATAATAACAATAATAATAATTATTATTTTTAGTATTATTATTATTTTGGTACCAGGGATTGAACTTGGGTCCTTGCAGTTGCAAGGCAGGTGGCAGAACCACTGAGCTAAATCCTCAGCACGGAATTATGTATTTTAAATTGTCTAGTATATAGAAAACATTGTTAGATCCTGAAGATATGAAGATAAATTATAGGCACCTTGTGAAGAGTTATCAATTAACAAAGGATAAAGACACTTAAATAAAATTACAGTAGTAATATTAAGTATCAAAGCAAAACTAGAAGATGTTAGAGAAGTTTTCATTTGCAGTGTTCAAAAAAAGTTCCAGGCAGGGGGCCAGGGATTTAGCTTAGTGGTTCTGCTTCCTGCCTCGCAAGTGCAAGGACCCAAATTCAAACCCCCATACAGAAAAAAAGTTCCAGGCAGTTATACAGGCAGTGGTAGATCTGGTAATCTAAGCAGGAAGAATAATATGAGGCTTGCAGGTTTAAGAGAACATGACTTCCAAGATTTCAATTGCAATGTAGCATAGGATTCCAGAGAAGACCAGGTGTATTGGTTCACACCTGTGATCCAGCATTTGGGAGCCTGAACAGCATTGCTGCAAGTGCAAGCTTGCACTACACAGTGAGTTTAAATCCAACCTGAATTATATAGCGGGATCCTGTTTCAAAAGACAAAAGTCAAAAACAAAACAAAAAAAAAAAAAAAAAAAAAAAAAAAAGGGGGAAAAAAAAAAAAAAAAAAAAAAAAAAACAGTCGGGCATGGGGCATGCCTGTAATCCCAGCACTCAGGAGGCTAAGGTAGGAGGCCAGCTTGAACTACATAAAAAAGATTCTAGAAAGGGAATATATCTGGAGACATAATTAGGATCTAGATCTGACAAGTCTTATATGTAAGGTTTATTTTACTTTTTCCATATACTCAGATTTTGTTGTGCATCAAAATAGACCTTGTTAAAATTGTGTGTGTGTGTGTCTTGTTAAAAAAATATGTATATGTGTGTGTGTGCACCAATACACTTGGTCCTCTCTGGAATCCTATGCTATATTCCAATTGAAATCTTGGAAGTCACGTTCTCTTAAGACTGCAGCCTCATATTATACACACACACACACACACACACACACACACACACACAGGTAGATGTTTAGCATCCTTTCCCCTTGAGATTGTGGCTTTATTTATTTATTTGGTGTACTGAGGATCAAACTCAGGACCTTGTGCTTACGGGGCAGGCAGCAGAATCACTGAGGTACATTCTCGGCCCATGTGATTTTATTTTTTGTTTTTGTTTTTTTGGAGACAGGGTCTTGCTACTGTATGTAGTTGATTGAGGCTGTCCTTTTTTGTACTGCAGTTCAGACTGGCCTCAAACTTCATGGCAATCCTCTTGCCTCAGTCTCTTGAGTGCTGGGATTACAGATATGCGCCACTATGCCCAGCAAGATTGTGATTTTAAAATATCCTTGCAATAGCAGTGTGAAAAATGATCCAAGTGGACAGTGACCAAGTGTCCAGCAAGATGTCTGCCATAGCAATCAAGGTAAGGGGATGGGTCTTTTGCCAAGGAAATGTCAGAGGGCAAATATTGGAGGACAGGAAATAACGGAGGGAGCTTGTTGATACCAGTATTTGAAAGTGAGGTGTTAAGTCATGGTTTCTCCCTTTTGAAACTAGGAAGTTGTCAGTTAAGTACTTTGGGAAACA